AAGTGATAGACCAGAAGGAAGGTAGCTAGTCACCACCACCCACCGCCAACTCTAGGGCTACTATTGTCAGACAGAACAGTAGGATTAAACCGTTAACCTTTTAACGTACTCACGGCCTCAAAATGCGGATTGCGATGTGTTTTTGACTTTAATCATGGACCTTCTGTTCCACAGTACAGCACTGTACTTAGTGGGCCTCGCTTGGCTCATGTGCTCTGGAAAGTGAGGTCCAGACCCCACTGTTCGATTAAAGTACACCATAAATTGGGGATGGGTGATGTTGAATAGCTGTTTTCCGTCTAGTCTATCAGTTCAAAATTAGGGACGGCTAACGTAAGTAGGTTTTTTTTTTTGTAGCTTTGTGCGAATATCCGACACAAACATAATTTTGAAAAAAAAAGTATTTCTATCAAATTCAACCGAAGAAAAACGATTTTGTAACGTTACTTTTGTAAATTTCAACCAAGTTTATTTCATCAGTAATTGTTTCCTATTTAATACATAAATTATTTCCAAGAAATTCATTCGAAATTCGTTTTAAGCCACGATTTTGGTTGTGTCTAATTTCCCGTCTTTTAACACGAAGCATAATTTACTCCCAGTGTTTTCAATTATAACACATGAACTTTTTTCCAAGGTCTACATATATAATATACAGGGGGGTGAAAGAACTACCTGAAAAAAAGTTTTAATGACTTAGCTTTCGATGTTAATCATGTTCATTTTTCTAAAGTACTCGTTTTACCCCTCGCACAAAGTATTTTTCCTTATGAGTAAAACACGATCAAATATTTTTCACTTATCTACCTGCTGAAGTTCATTAATATTCATGGACAAACACAATTAGTCTGTCGATCTACAAAGGAATTACATGAAAGTGTGAAATCAACTTTCGGGATCTCTCTCTCGTTATTTGAGTTTTATTGGAAGGATGGAAGTTTGATTTGGAGTAGAAAATTAATGTTATGAAAATAGAAAATAAATCGTCTGTACGCCAAGCGGTTTTAAAGGGAAACTTAAAAATTAAACTTCTTTTTATTATTATTTGCCAAAGATTACACTTTAGTGACTTCAATTCGATATTGGTTTTGTTTCTAACTCTATATATTGGACGTGGAAACTTTACCAATACACGGACTTTTCACACTTTAGTGATGACAATAATAGAAAATATGAGTGTGTCGGACTTTTTCCCTTGTGGCTTGGAACAATGATATCTTTATATCATACAGTTATATCATATCTTCCTATACTTTCATATTAGTATATCTCTGATTCCGGTTATTGACCTTTTGCAAATTTAAGTTGAGTTTTATAGTATTTATTTGTTGCCAGTCTAGGATGTTTCTGTTTTTCCATTGGTTTGTTGGATTATTGTGATTGTTAAGTCGACTTTGTGAAGTTATCGACGTCATGTCAAAAGAGTTTCTCACTGGTTCAGGTATCAGAGATGGCTCCCATTATCAGTTCAGTTTGGATTTTTTAGGACGTTCCTTGCTAGATTTCAAAATAAGAGGTCAAACGGATCTGAAAGTGACTATTATAAAGTAAAGAGGTCATAAAGATCTTAACATTTAATTTCCCGGCCATCTTTAAACTTTGGATTAATTTTCTTTAACTTCTACTTTTCTATATATCTTTAATCTTTGGATTAATCTCTTTTATCATATAGTTCCCGACCATCTTTAAACTTTGGATTAATTTCTTTTAACATATAGTTTTACGTATATCTTTAATCTTTGGATTAAGCTCTTTTATCATATAGTTCTCGGCCATCTTTAAACTTTGGATTAATTTCCTTTAACATCTAGTTTTCTGTATATCTTTAATCTTTGGATTAAGCTCTTTTATCATATAGTTCTCGGCCATCTTTAAACTTTGGATTAATTTCCTTTAACATCTAGTTTTCTGTATATCTTTAATCTTTGGATTAATCTCCTTTAACATATAGTTCCCGGCCATCTTTAAACTTTGGATTAATTTCTTTTAACATCTAGTTTTACGTATATATTTAATCTTTGGATTAATCTCTTTTATCATATAGTTCTCGGCCATCTTTAAACTTTGGATTAATCTTTTTTATCATATAGTTCCCGACCATCTTTAAACTTTGGATTAATTTCTTTTAACATCTAGTTTTACGTATATCTTGAAACTTTGGATTAATTTCCTTTAACATATAGTTCCCGGATATCTTTAATCTTTGGATTAATTTTCTTTAACATCTAGTTTAACGTATATCTTTAAACTTTGGATTAATTTCTTTTAACATCTAGTTTCCAGGAGATATTTAATGAGTGGAAGTGATTCTACAAGTGAATTTTGTGGGTTTGAAAAGACAACATGATTGAAGAGAGGGAACATCCCGAACTTCATGGAGTGAACTAGGCAGGCACTCTGTTACTGAGAGCTGTTCCCATCTTCTTGCAGCAAAATCCAGTTCTCAGATACATTCTCCAAGCAGAATGTAAAAAGTTAGAAACTTCCACCAATTTCAGATGCCTTCTGAAAACTTCTTCATGCAAACTTCCAGTCAAACATGTGATTCAATGCAACTCAACAATATCATTCGCAGTAACAATAACACAACCAACAGCATATTACAGTACACAAAATGAAATTGCAACAGAAACTGTAATACAGAAAGGTGCATTTGTTGACAGAAGGACTTGTTATGAGAAATGACAAATGGATTCCCCCATCTTATTGGGAATGTTTCCCATGTATATTTTTCACACAGTACTTCCTATGTTGTTGGGAATGTTTCCCATGTATATTTTTCACACAGTACTTCCTATGTTGTTGGGAATGTTTCCCATGTATATTTTTCACACAGTACTTCCTATGTTGTTGGGAATGTTTCCCATGTATATTTTTCACACAGGATTTCCCATGTTGTTGGGAATGCTTCCCACACAGTATTTCCTATCTTATTGGGAATGTTTTCTGCACATGTTTTTTCACACAGGATTTCCCATGTTGTTGGGAATGCTTCCCACACATTATTTACTATCTTATTGTTAATGTTTACTACACATATTTTAATATTAGTTGACATTTACCATATTAACACGAGTGGAAAATACCACAGTCATATCGATTTTTGTGAAAAAAGAAAAAAGCTACAAGTATTTGAAGTGAGCTACTCAACTTACTAGATGATTAGTAGTTTAGAAACTCACTTACCCCCACTGCTGTAGGCCCCTTTCTACTTCTGGTACTATCATATATTTTCTAGCTTTTTGGTTGAGCGTTTTTGCTTATGAGGGGGGCCCTTGCCTATAGCCTAAACTAGATACAATAATAGTAAGAAAATGAATTATGACTTGAAACATGAATTCAGTTGTTTGGATCATTTATTACTTAGATTCAGAGCACCAGACCGTTGTTTTCCATAATGTTTTACCCCCCCTTTTTTTTTTACTTTTTGTTGGAAACAATATAAGAAAAACTGCTTTATGGTAAAAAATGGAATACGATCGTTTGTAATGACAGGTGTCACGATTGTTTACCGTCAAACCTACCTTAATACAAATAACCCCTAGCGGTAAGTCTGAGGGCGTATAACGCTAAAAACAGGGTTTCGATACCAGTTGTGTAACTTTGTACTCAATAACAAACAAACTAAACTGGATTGGTGTTTTTTTTTCTACTTTGTTCCATGCCTTTTAAACACCTCTGTCACTCCAGCACTCCGTGTCTTTTCTTCTTCCTATGTGTGAGAGACAAAGAATTAACTAATATGCAGAAGTATCTCTTAACATTGAGAAAAAGCTTTATTAATACGTAACGGTTTCGTTTCGTGGTCAGTTTATTCTGGTTCGGTAAGTGGTTTAGAGTTTCGGATATTAAAGCCATCATTTACCATTTTATGGTTCAATGTTTTGGCGTTTCGGATATTAAAATCCTCATTTACCATTTAAATGTTCAGTCTTTTGGCGTTTCGGATATTAAAACCATCATTTACCACCTTATGGTTCAGTAAGTGTTTTGGAGTTTCGGATATTAAAACCTCATTTACCATTTTATGGTTCAATGTTTTGGCGTTTCGGATATTAAAACCCTCATTTACCATCTTATGGTTCAGTCTTTTGGTGTTTCGGATTTTAAAACCCTCATTTATCATTTTACGATCCAATAGGTGTTTTGGCGTTTCGGATATTAAATCCCTCACTTACCAACTTATGGTTCGGTCTTTTGGCGTTTAGAGGAAAGATAAAGTTCAAAAAATATCACAAAAAAATAAACAAAGGTTGTATGTGTTTTCACTTCACATAGTTAATAAAATAAACAAAGGTTGTATGTGTTTTCACTTCACAAAGTTAATAAAATAAACAAAGGTTGTATGTGTTTTCACTTCACAAAGTTAATAAAATAAACAAAGGTTGTATGTGTTTTCACTTCACAAAGTTAATAAAATAAACAAAGGTTGTATGTGTTTTCACTTCACAAAGTTAATAAAATAAACAAAGGTTGTATGTGTTTTCACTTCACATAGTTAATAAAATAAACAAAGGTTGTATATGTTTTCACTTCACATAGTTAATAAAATAAACAAAGGTTGTATGTGTTTTCACTTCACATAGTTAAAATAAACAAAGGTTGGGTGTGTTTTCACTTCACATAGTTAATAAAATAAACACAGGTTGTATGTGTTTTCACTTCACATAGTTAATTTAGTTCATTGTAACCTGTGGTAGTTTCGGACAGCTCTAGGGAAAGTGGTTCTTTTTGAAACACACTGCAATGTGATTGGCGGAGAATCTAATACTATTGTTCTGTCTGTTGTTTTCACAGCATGAAACGCCCAATCACGAGACAGTCAGCGCGTGCGTGCTCCTGTCGGTGTAGTGTGTAAAGCTTAATGCTGCCCGCGGCGATTACCAATTCTTCCGGCCAGCTCGAGGGAGAGCTCACGGCTCAGGGTTCGACTAAGCTGTACTTAAAACACACACAGGAACGTTGTTTGTTCTAGACGATTACAAGAAGTTCGTGTCACCATGGACGAAGCCGAAACGCTGTCCGATCGAAACGTGAACGAAAGTAAGGAAGTCAAGATGACATCGGTGAAAGTCATCGAAGGACGGAACGGATTGTTAAGGTCCAATGACTTCTTAGTCAACGTGTCTAGATGTGGTCATAATAGACACCTTCCTATTCACACCTATTCGATTGACGCCATCTTAGGACTCAGGCAAGAACAGCCGTCAGAAACAGGACATATCTGTTCCGAAAAGCAAAAAGAAGTGCTCCAAATACGGTCCTATCCAGATCCGAATCCAACTGGAGATCGTACTCCTTACCCGTACTGGGTCACTGAATACAGAGGTATGTCATCTACTTTCTCCATGGAGAACTGTTTTGTAGGAATACGATCAGATTTTGTGGCTCAAATCCATATATTTGTTAATTAGAAGGTTGTCATTCAAACTGTTTGTCAAATGCGTTGAAATCTGATATCGATTCTCCACTGAGAAACTTAACAAACACGAGTAGAAAACCTAGCCACAGTTATAAATAAATGTATGTGACACACGAGTATAAAACCTAACCACAGTTATAAATAAATGTATGTGACACACGAGTATAAAACCTAGCCACAGTTATAATAAATGTATGTGACACACGAGTATAAAACCCAACCACAGTTATAAATAAATGTATGTGACACACGAGTATAAAACCTAGCCACAGTTATAAATAAATGTATGTGACACACGAGTATAAAACCTAGCCACAGTTATAAATAAATGTATGTGACACACGAGTATAAAACCTAGCCACAGTTATAAATAAATGTATGTGACACACGAGTAGAAAATTTAGCCACAGTTATAAATAAATGTATGTGACACACGAGTAGAAAATTTAACCACAGTTATAAATAAATGTATGTGACACACGAGTAGAAAATTTAGCCACAGTTATAAATAAATGTGTGTGACAAACGAGTAGAAATTTAGCCACAGTTATAAATAAATGTGTGTGACACACGAGTAGAAAACCTAGCCACAGTTATAAATAAATGTGTGTGACACACGAGTAGAAAATTTAACCACAGTTGTAAGTACAAGTGTGTGATACACGTGTATAATACTTAACATCTGTTGTAAATACAAGTGTGTGATACACGTGTATAATACCTATTCAATGTTGTAAATACAAGTGTGTGACACACGTGTATAATACCTAACAACTGTTGTAAATACAAGTGTGTGACACACGTGTATAATACCTAACAACTGTTGTAAATACAAGTGTGTGACACACGTGTATAATACCTAACGACTGTTGTAAATACAAGTGTGTGACACACGTGTATAATACCTAACAACTGTTGTAAATACAAGTGTGTCACAGAATTGTAGAGAACTTGTAGTCCTTAAGAGATGCCTTTAAAATAATGCTAATCCTTCTATTCAGATATTTTAACTCCATACAAAGATTATTTATTACTATGGCTTAGGCTAAGAAGGAAATTGACATTGGTCGTTTGGAGTGTGCTTAGCACACAAAGCACTTGACCATGACTGTTTATTACACGCGTGAGTTAATCCAAAGCACAATAATATAAATATATTCTCTAGCTAGTTTATTTTGGAATTAAACAAGCCATAAAATGATTTTTTCGTTATTATTTCATCACATGTAATTTGCCGTTTCACCTTTTCTCTCTCTCTGTTTTCTTGATTTGCTAATTTTCTCTAATTTGTCCCGTGTCTTTTTGTCCCGTGTCTTTTTATTTCTTTGCGTCTGTTTTGGATCTAAAATATATTTTGATAGTTTACATATCAACTCTCTGTTATAAGTTACGTCCGTGATTGGTGATATAAGCCGTTCATACATTACCCGGTAACATCTGTCGATAAGTTACAATGAATGTTATAAGTTACGTCCGTGATTGGTGATATAAGCCGTTCACGTCCGTGATTGGTGATATAAGCCGTTCATACATTACCCGGTAACATCTGTCGATAAGTTACAAAGAAACATTTTAATGTAGGAATTAGACATGGGTTGTTATTATGCGTAACACAAGTTTGTGACATTAAACAAAAACATCAGGGTTAACCACTATCTCCAGTTGTATTAATGATGTTAACACGATCTGATTGCAATAGCTCATTCTGTTAATGCTTATTGGACGATCTGGCTGTAATATCCCAGTTTATTAATGCTTATTAGACGATCTGACAACACTGTCCCATCTTATTAATGCTTATTGAACGATCTAAGAACATTGTCCTATATTATGAATGTTTATTAGACGATCTGACAACACTGTCCCATCTTATTAATGCTTATTGAACGATTTAAGAACATTGTCCTATATTATGAATGTTTATTGGACGATCAGACAACACTGTCCCATCTTATTAATGCTTATTAGACGATCTGACAACACCGTTCCATCTTATTAATGCTTATTGGATGATCTAAGAACATTGTCCTATATTATGAATGTTTATTGGACGATCAGACAACACTGTTCCATCTTATTAATGCTTATTAGACGATCTGACAACACTGTCCCATCTTATTAATGCTTATTGGACGATCTAAGAACATTGTCCTATATTATTAATGTTTATTAGACGATCAGACAACACTGTTCCATCTTATTAATGCTTATTAGACGACCTGACAACAATATTCCATTTCTTAATAATACTTATTAGACGATCAGACAACACTATCCTATTTTAATGACACTTATTGAACGATCTGACAACCCTGTTCCATCTTATTAATGCTTATTAGACGAGCTGACGACAACACTGTTCCATTTCTTAATAATACTTATTAGACGATATGACAACACTATCCTATTTTAATGACACTTATTGAACGATCTGACTGCAATATCATATTTTATTAATGCTTATTAGACGATCTCACAACACTATTTTATTTTATTAATTGTATTAATACAATACTACTAGTCTTATATTTAATTCCTCATTAGTTAGTTAATCGAATTTCCTGCACCCGAAACCCAAATCGGAAAAGTGTCTTAAGTAATTCTAGTCAGTAAAACTTGTCGGATATACATAATATAACATATCATCAGTTTTTCATGTTATCTTGGTTGTTGTATCTAATGATACCAGGTTAACCATACATATTATACTCCGCGTGTTCGACAATAAAGAACCTTTAAGACAAGTATTTTGTCACTAAACTCCCTGACTATAAAGTCACTTTCGGCTCAAAACTTTAAATTTCTGTAAGAGAATTGTCTGTCTGGTGTCTTGACACCACTGGCTGAACCAATTTTGATGAAAATTATAAGAGGAACTCAAGAGGGACACCCCCCTCCCTCCAGTGGCTTAGCGATGAGCTTGTTGGCACACCCCCTCCCTCCAGTGGCTCAGCGATGAGCTTGTTGGCTTATAAGGCTAACAACCGAGTTTCGATACCCGTGATAGGTACATCAGAGATAACCCATTGTGTATCTTTGCACTTAACAACTACCAACCATTAAAGTGGAACCTTTAATGGCTTATAAGGCTAACAACCGAGTTTCGATACCCGTGATAGGTACATCACAGATAACCCATTGTGTATCTTTGCACTTAACAACTACCAACCATTAAAATGGAACCTCTAAAGATCTAGTTTAAATGGATAACCAATCAGGCGAACAGTTCGTGTGCTACAGCCACTTTAGCTTCCCCTATGTTGCGGCATTACTCACATGCACGCCATTGCGTCATCCCCATGGAGCCAACAAACTAAATGCGTCGAGTAGCGCAGATACATTTGCTATTTATATATGCGTTTGTTTGCGGAATTGACTCTACCAGCTTCGAATACATTTGGTTTTTGAACTCAGACGGACCCCCCCCCCCTCCTCCGAGTAACCGCGCTACGCGAGACATGCCGTTCGTCCGAGTAACCGCGCTACGCGAGACATGCCGTTCGTCCGAGTAACCGCGCTATGCGAGACATGCCGTTCGTCCGAGTAACCGCGCTACGCGTGACATGCCTTTCGTCCGAGTAACCGCGCTACGCGAGATATAAAAAGCAACTTTCGTTTGGCGTGTGCTTAATGTAAGGTAAAAAATTGAAATGGCTGAAAAACTCGTACTGTTCGTCTGATCCGTTTAAAATGGTTCTTTCTTCTTCTCCTTTTTTTTTGGATCCAACTACTGATTTTGGGGAGATTTCATCAAGGAAAAGTAAGACCCAAGTAATAATTTTGGGATAGAAATGATCAGAGGAAAGTAGGACCCAACTTTATAAATAATGCAATATACATGGCCATGGGCCCGCTTTTTTTTTACTATTTTGGCTGTAGTACATGAGCCGTTCGTCCGAGTAACCGCGCTACGCGAGGCATGCCGTTCGTCCGAGTTACCGCGCTACGCGAGACGTGCCGTTCGTCCGAGTAACCGCGCTACGCGGGACATGCCGTTCGTCCGAGTTACCGCGTTACGCGAGACATGCCGTTCGTCCGAGTAACCGCGCAACGCGAACATTCAAACTTTTCCGTGATCGTTTCTCCCCAAAATGATTAATTGAAACTCACTTTCTCGTGATCATTTCACTTCATAATTAATATCAGCATGTATTAGATACCTTTTTTTTCTACAATTGAATGGTTTAGTCTTTCTGTAAGTAAAACCAACAAAGTTTTAACTCTTACCAAATTTCAACTTTCACCTCCTAGGCTCTTGGACAGAAACTTCTGTGATACGTTCGTTCCTCGGTCAGTTTTTCTGACAAGACTATCTGTGAAAAACTTACTCCAATAGAGTATTAACTATAAAGCTACAAATTCCGATCTTTTTAGGGGTGGATGGATGGGGGTTAGTAACTACTAATTGATTTGACTATACAAAGTTGGAGTGGTCGGATATATTATGTAAGTAATGTGTTATAGGGCCATTTAACCCCTTGGTGCTTTTCGGATCATCCTACAATACATAATACAACATTTGTACAAAAGACACGGTATTAGCACTATATATATATATCGAATCTTAGCGAAGCCTAGCCATAAAACGTATGGTGCTGATCTTTTTGTTGTAACCGACGGTATGAATGGGACAGGACTGTTCCTGTTTCTGTGTTATGAAGCGTACAAGATACGTATGGATTTCCAAAACATCGGCTACAAAAGCACGATGTCCATGGACTTGTCACGGGAAGTTGAAACCCGAGAACAGGCTACTTAAAATTAGCCCGCCAAGTTCTCGTGACAGGCAGTACTTTCAGAGTCTGAGACAGACGACGCGAGTTTAAAAAAGACCTTGTCATGGTAATCACATTCATTCCAATCCGGAGTGAATGGGCTAGAAAAATAGACCCTCAGGTCCTGAATACATCGTCGGCTGAGTTGTCTTTATTCAGATCTTTTAGGGGAAGCTAATCGGCATATACACTATTCAAAAAGGCTGAACGCACGAGACTTCGCTAGTGCTAATTTTACCGCACATTGAGATAACATCGACAGCATTCAAATGGTCTGTAGCGAAATCTCGACTACGCTAGTTGAAATAAGTCGGCTTATGGGGAATAAGGGCTAGTGCACAGATAGCTGTGTTACTATAGCATTTTGTAAAGAAAAGCATTCTTTTTTCCCGCCTTTACTATAACGCCATCTGTCGCACTACACGTATACTGGCTTCCGCACTCTAAATAATTACGTAGTGGAGAATTGTTACAACACTAAGAACGTGCTTTCTCTCTTTTCAGATGCGGATGACAAGCCCACTGACCCACCAATCTCCGTTCAACATGTTTATTCCAACAACCCGCTAACGGAAATCGTCACCAACAACGGGTTCGAAGAGGGCGTTGTTTCTAGTGTTCCCACATACGAAGACGGGCTGAAGAAGAAACACCGAAGAAACAGGACCACTTTTACAACATATCAACTTCACCAGCTCGAATGTGCCTTCGAGAAATCACATTACCCAGACGTCTACAGCAGAGAAGAGCTCGCCATGAAAGTGAACCTGCCCGAAGTGAGAGTACAGGTAGGTGGCGTTGTACTCAGACTAAAAACAAGCACGAGTGGAAACTTAGAAGGAATATTGACGAACGTGTCATTTTCTATAGTGCTTTGGAACTCTTGTCCAAATTAAATTGTAACTTTGAAATCGTATTACTGATTTCTATAACTTAGAAATTGGTACGCTTATATTATACTGCTTTGTTAGATCGAAACCAGTATGTATCGTTCCTACCCAATTCAAATACAACTTTTGGTCCATGATTAGGCCATCCTGGGTGATTGATACTGTGAAATGGTTATTTAATAAACTAAACATCCAAGAAAGGTAAAGCTTAAATTTGCTGTTGTATTCGTAGAGCAGTGAACGCGTTTCATGGTCAAAACTGAACCTTAAAGCATCAAACTTCAATGATGACGTCGCGGTGGCACAAAGCTAAGCATCAACCTTCAATGATGACGTCGCGGTGGCACAAAGCTAAGCAACAACCTTCAGTGATGACGTCACGGTGCAACAAAGCTAAGCATTAACCTTAAATGATGACGTCACGGAGCCACCAAGCTAAGCATCAATCTTCAGTGATGACATCACAATGGCACAAAGCTAAGCATCAACCTTCAGTGATGACGTCACGGAGCCACCAAGCTAAGCATCAATCTTCAATGATGACATCACAATGGCACAAAGCTAAGCATCAACCTTCAGTGATGACGTCACGGTGGCAGCAAAGCTAAGCATCAACCTTCAGTGATGACGTCACGGTGCCACAAAGCTAAGCATCAATCTTCAGTGATGACATCACAATGGCATAAAGCTAGGCATCAAATGCGATACTAAATGCGTCATTTCATTACGTGAATAGATATGTTCACACTTCATCTGCAGATCACTATTTATATATCTTATCTCTCATCAAAGTCTAAAGCTCGCCCACATCTATTAAAACACACATTCACGAGCGAAAGCTGAGATTGGGGGGAGGGGGGTACACCGAGCTTTCATTAAATAACCTCTTTCCCTGGGAGACCTGGCATGGCCTGGTGATTATGGTGCTCGATTCGCAATCTACGGGTGGTCGCGGGTTTGAATACTCGTCACCGAACGTGTTCCTCCTTTAGGATTGCTGTCAGGCCAAGACACCCGAGTGTAAAAATTCTTGGCTGACTTCAAATTTAGATAGGATTTAAGTAAAAATGAAGAACCCGGAAAAGTGGTCCTTTATAGGCTAACAAGCCGATGTACTCATCCTCTGTCCGTGTTATAAACTTCAGAAAAATATGGGGGTGATGCTATGATAAATAACGCAAGAATCCTAACTTTCACACATTTATTTATAATATAACATATTATTACAGTATTCATTAATACCTCACCAAGAGTTTGTATAAACTTTAAGAACTCAATGTGTGTATACTTAAAACATGGTACATTCTGCGTGATGGTTAGGATGACTTTGTAGGAGGAGGAATCGAAAAAACTACTGGCGGTAGGGTGCTTTTTGTTACCCACTTTCAACACCCACCTCTTACTGTCCTTCCACATTAGTTCATGTTATTAATTAATTGACGGCCATTGGCCGCAGAAGTGTCTTACGGGTCGAAGCTATAAGGTCACGAGTCAAAATAGGAAGTGGATATAATTCAAGAAACGGCCGTATGGTGGCTATTGGAGTAGAAACTTCAGCTGAGTTTAGGTATTACTTCAATAGTGGCGGCCATTTTTCATTCCATTCCTCCATAGAGTGTGCTAGGGCACTCTCTGAGACAACAAATTGGAGGTTTAAAAAAGTATGGCACTTTGTAATTAATGTGGTTACGGTAATAAATGACAGATGGCAGCACTATACAAGCCTATTTTCAACACAAACGTTTGGCTTGAAAGTGGGAAATGGACGCGTTCACATTCACATGCTTTTTATATAGTAACTAGACATGGTACCTGTTTAATTTGTGGGGGTGCCAAACGCTGATTTCTTAAGTCACTCCCTGAAGGGCCCTAAGGGTACATGCTAGGTTTGTTAACAATCGGTCCATCGCTTCTCCAGTTACAAGCGAACACCCACACAGAGACTTTTGCCAAATTAAAGTGTGACAGTTTACTTTTTAATCGCTCTTGTTATATATTTTTTGACAATTTTCTGGAAAGTCAATATTCTTCCAACACCCCTTGTAATGGAAAGTGTAGCCAACCCGGTGAGAAACACCTGAGACATAGACAACTTTAGACAAGTCTTAATTATTTTTACATTTTAAAAGACTCCTCTCAACAGAGGCAACAGAAACTAGAACACCCGAAGAGCAGCAGTGGTGGCAAATCAGTTCCATAAGCGCTGGACATCTGCGTGTGACTTTAGTAGCTCATGGTATTTTTATAGTTTCAAATTATTTAACGTATATTAAACTTTGAGCCATCCTTGAGCAGCAATGATAGGCTCGTTCTTAGACTCGTGGCTAACAATATGCTTCTTAAGTCCTACAGGTTGGTATGTAGAAGATCTGATTCTTCTTCTTATAACTCTTTTTATGACGTCTTTAAATCAGTTTATTCTACATACCACTGACTGAATTAAATGGCCTTGTGGTTAGGGGGTGCTCGAATCGCAATCTGCTGGTCGCGGGTTCGAATCCCCGTCACCAAACATGTTCATCCTCTCAGCTGTGGGGCGTTATAATGTGACGGTCAATCCCATTATTCGTTGGTAAAAGTACTGTTATATATCTAGTATTAACTATAAATAATAGTTTAAGGTAAGCCAGGTTTACAAGCTTTAGCTAGTATTAACTATAAATAATAGTTTAAGGTAAGCCAGGTTTACAAGCTTTAGCTAGTATTAACTATAAATAATAGTTTAAGGTAAG